ATGAACTAAAATGACCTCTATCATACTGATGTCTCAGCAGAAGCTACAAAGCTTCATTTAGTGTTGCAAAATACAACAAGGGAAGTTGATGAATCAGAAAATAAAAGGGTTGGAAAATAGGAACTACTGAAAACTTCAAATCAAGTTGACTTTCATTTAAAACCTGAGCAGACACAGCAACAACAGTTTGAACCTTGTTTGTAAGCCAAACAGCACGACGAAAAGGAATATTTTCACGGACAAAAGGAGCCGGCTGCATGGCACATGGCTAAAATAAGGCTGCCTACTTTTAAAACTAAAAGGAAGTGCGACGTAACCCTGCTAATGGGATCCTCTGGATAATGGGAGTCATTAAGAGAGAATACAATGTTCAGACATCTGAAATAGGCCACAGTGACATGTTAGTCTGAGTGGTGCTCTAAAAATGAAATGGTCACTGTTGCATATTCACAATTATCCTAATTAATTGTGAAGATTACGGTCCTTCCTGACATTTAACACAAATATTTAAACTGTTTCCTACACTTAAGAACTTTTATTTGAATGTTTATGACCAATGAAAATGTTCTATAGCCAAGATGAAAAGGGATTGTTTCACGGGTCATGATGTACAGTACTACTCGCGAGTGTTTTTTTTTTGGGCTGTTCAAGTACCTTGAAACCAAAAAACAAGCCCAAAAAACAGCCAGCTGTGGTCATTTAAATGTATGTCAGCACTGTTCCCCTCCAGTAGAACACATTTACACACACATGTGGCTGCAGAACCTCTGGCAAAAGAATTGGAATAAAAAAAAATAGCTTGAGTTAAAGTTTTCTCATAATTGTTTTGTGATATAAAAAGTTATCTGAAGCAGAGCAGGGATCCAAAAGTCCTATCTCTAATTATGATGTTGTGTTGTGGTGCGGCATTCCCCTCTTAAACATCCATTATGGGTACTGGATCTTTGACTGACCAAGATTACCATACAAGACTTCTGACTAAATGGAGTTTAAAAGCACCTAAATGCACAATGGAGGGGAAATCATGAGTTATGGATGGAAAATCACAATCATTTAAATGACAACTTAAACGGCTCAAAAACTGAGTGTAATTAAAAAAAAAAAAAAAAAAACACACCAAAGAATTCTGAGTTGAAATCAATTTAAATTCCTGAAGCAGCTTAGTAGAGCGGTTAACTACAATGGTAAAACAATTCAATCCTTGCTCGTGTCAAAGGTCAAACGGCTTTATTTGAGGAAAGTGCCTCAAAGGAAGCAGAGAATATGGGCAAACTATGTTTCCTGATTTGATTTTAGAATCTCACACGGCGTGTTTCTATCTCCGTTAACCTCTGCAACAACCCCGAGCTTAACAACTGCAGTGGCAGCTCGGTTCCCAATCCAATCACACATTCGCTTTCTAGCTGTCTCTTTCCAGCCTTCACTGTAGGCACTCAGTGGTGAAGTGATAAATGGAAACGTCATCTCCAGCTTATAATGAACACCACCAACAAAAATCACAAAGTATTGTACCATGCTCAGTCACTTCCTGAAAAGAAATAGTCTAATCACTGGGTGAGTTTTTAATAAAACTGGATTCACACTACACAACGACAATTATTATCAGAATTGCAATGTGACCGAGTGCAATATGCAAGTTGAAGAAGCTGCAAATGTTTGATAAAAAGGTAAAATATGTGACAA